TGTCCAAGCCCCTCAAACTCGATTTCAAACGTATTTTAAGAAAAACACTTTTCAACCCATTTTCGTTGTCGAAGATGGTTTCTACCATCAATATCCAAATGTTACTGCCAAACATTTCCTCAATGAGTGGTTCTTCAAACCAAGATCCCTCAAAAAAACCCACAAATATTATGAACTTATCCTCACAGAAACTGGATTAGTCACCATTTCCCACAAATTTGATCCTTCAGACAAAACACTCGATACCCACTAAACCTGCAAAATCCACCAAATTATCCACCCTCGCCAATGGCCTACTAGCCCAAACACCAACCAAAAATTCCCTGCTACTATTGCTCTTAACCACCCGCAAATCTGCCAATCCTCCAATTACTGGGATTACCATGAAGCTTGGATTAATGCCTTCTTCAAGAAAAACCATATGTACCGACACTCCTGGAGTTTTTTCTGGGATTACAAAACTCCCATTATTTTCCCCAACTGGTTTATGCACTGGTGGGATCTTTTTGGGCCAACTGAAAATATCTATCCAGCTGAGATACAAGAGGGATATCAAATCTTCTGTCAAAAATATTCTGGTCCAGGATTACCCCTCCTCAAATTTTGTTACTATATCAAAGTTCCTTGGATTACAGCCTGGAAATCCAGTTACCAAACCTGTGCCGTCACAGAGGTACCCATGTTAGGGCGCAGCTTCAAAACCAAATATTGGGCTGCAAATCCTCGCCCAGAACAAGCCTACAAACCTCAAGTCCTCCAATGGTTCAATAACAATCCTGAACTGTCCAAAGTTATCGAAAAATCCTCAACGCAATTTTTGCAAACAAAATCCTCAATCAGCGCTCTCTTAGCTGGCGCCAAGACTGAAGAAGAATACTTCCAAATTCTCAAAGATGTGGTGTCTAGCTCAACATCTGACGCAGATTCCACATTCCAAAACCATGACCCGGATGAAGAATTGTTTGGTCCTTTGCCAACAAAGAGCACTAAGTTGAAGACAAAGTTCAAGTGACCCCATTGCTTCTTCCACTATCATAAAGACAAAGAAGAAGTGACTCAACTTCCAACCCACTATCCTAAAGACAAAGAAGAAGTGACTCAACTTCCAACCCACTCAATTTAGTTATGGAAAGAAGACCACAAATTATCTATTTTTCTTTATATTAAAAATGTAATTTTGTTATGACATGTGACATAATCATATAAGTGTCCACATTGTCATCATTATGTTTTTCAATTTATTTACCAAAAGGGTACTACATTTCTCTATAAAAGGAGACTCCCTTCACTTGTTGTAGTAGAGTTGTTTTGAGTGGGAATTGCTCTCTTGCAAAGCTTCCTCCCATCATCTTCTCTCAAGAATTCATGTATAATAAGTCTATCAAACTATCAAGTTTTACTTCATCTTTTTCAAATCATCTTTAACTTTTATTTATTTCGTGCATAACTGGTCATCTCCATTATTTATTTTATGCAAAACTGGCCATCTCCAGTATTTATCTTCTGCTAATCTGGTCATCTCCAATATTTACTTTTTGCTAATCTGGTCATTTCCAGTATCATTTACTTTACAAACTATTTTCAAGTTAATCTCATATTGGTTGTCTCATTCCGTCCTTACTAGTATCAGAGCCTGGGGGAGGGTTTATCTAAAACTTCTTGCTTATTATTAGTTGAGAGATGGGTACCCCATGGTTAGATCCTAGCTGAGTCCTTTGCGAGAGAGTTGTAAGACCGTCTTTGGCCTTTAATCTACCTCACCTGTAAGTTAGATCCAGCCTTTGTTTACCTTTCTTTCCTCTAGTCATGAGTTCGATTTTTAGACCTTCCTCTTCTTCCTCTAATTCTGACATCACCGGGAACCGTGTGATCAACCAAGAAGAAATTAATTTTGAAACTGTTAGTAAAGAAATTGTTAATTGGAAAATTCCTAGAATTGCCCAAAAGGAAATTTATAGCAAAGCAAATTCAACTTCCTCAATAAAATGGATTATACCATCAAAACAGAAGAAAGAGATATTCATCTTTTCAATGATTAAGAAACCATCAAACTTTTGTCTCAAAATTCTATTCAACAACACAAAAAGAAGTACAACTATATCCATGTTGGGTTAGTTCAAGTAGGGATTAAGCCTCTATCCAAATAAGGCCTTAATACTGCTATTTTAATGGTTTTACGAGATTGTCGATTTCTTGAATTTAACGACTCTTTACTTGGAACTGCTGAATCAAGTCTTTGTAATGACCTAATTTACTTCAATTATTTTCCAAACTTTACTGTCTCTCTTCATGACAAAAAATATTTTCAGTTGGGATGTAGGGATGGCAATTTCGACCTGACCCATTTTACCCGACCTGTTTGGCTTGTTTTGGGGCGGGTCCGACCTGCCCCGGGGCATGGGTACTCTCATTGACTCGACCTGCTCTGAAACGCCCCCTTCTCGATCCGTTCTTGCCTAAATTACATATAATATTAGTCAAATTACTTAGGATTTTTCTTTTATTACATCATAATTTAGCTATAATAAAGTTGTAAATTAGTGAAAACCTCAATTTCTGTAATAATTTAACTACATTTATCATAATATTGTTTGTTTTCTTGGTCTTATAATAAAAATAACGAATATTTCTAATGTTTTTCATAAAAATTGCATGCCCATTGGGTCGACCTGCCCCGACCTGCGACCCGTGATAAATTATCTGACCTGCCACGGGGCGGGTCTGGGTACAAAGAAACCGCCCCGGACCTGCCCCATTGCCATTCCTATATGGATGGTTCTATTGTACACTAGGCAAAACCTGGTGTATGTCGTACACCAGGCAATCTCCACCATTCGCGTCCATCTCAACGACCATCATAAATGAGGTAATTTATTTTTTAATCCCACAAAAAAAGAACCTGCATTAATGTTGACCGTTGATATGGACGTGGACGATGGAGGTTGCTGGTGTACGACATATCCCAATATATGTCTGCCATATATATATATATAGAGAGAGAGGTGGCAAATGGATTGATCCATGGATTGATGGATTGGATTGGTGGATCCATGGATCAAATGGATTGGATCCAATGGATTGGTGGATTCATGGATTGGATCAAGTGGATTGGTGGATTATCCATGAATCCAAATGACATCCTCAACCAAGGACCAATATGTAAAATATGAAAAGTTTAGGTACTAAAATGTCATAATGAAAAATTTTAGGTACCAAAACGTAATTTTCCAATGATATTTTTTGTATAAAAATTAAATTTTGGGTACCAAAATATAAAATATAAAAAGTATAGGTACCAAACCGTAATTTGTCATTTGGATCCATGGATCAATCTATGAATCCACCAATCCAATTGGATTTGGATCAAATGAATTGGATTTAAATGGATTGGATTAGATGAATATTTTTAATGGGTTGGTGGATTGGATTGATGGATTGGATTAAGAATTGCCACCTCTATATATATACTTCTATCGTATACCTGGCAAAAGGTGGTGTATGTCGCACACCAGACAATCTGAACCCTCCTCGTCCATCTAAACGGCCAGCATAAATACGGTAATTTATTTTATAATTTCACAAAAAACAGAACCCACATTTATGTTTACCGTTGAGATGGACGCGTAAGGTGGAGATTGTCTGATGTACACGAAATGACACATTTTTAATTTTAATTCGGCTAAATTACACGTTTGGTCACTCAAATTACATAAATCGTTCATGTTTGCCACCCAGATCACTTTTCTTTCATCTTAACCACTAACTTTACGATTCGTTTCACCATTAGTCACCCTCCGTCAGACTCCGTTAACGCCGTCAAATTTTTGATGACATGACAAACGGAACTACTGACTGTACTGTTAACTTAATGACACATCACTTTAAAAAAATTATTTACTTTGACTGACGGTCAAAATGTGGTCAAAGTTTTTCTCCGCCATGGCGGGGTGGACCATCAACTCCGTTCTCGAAACGTCCCCCCTACTCCCTAACCCTGCTCGCCGGCTTCTCCATTTCCCCCTTGCTGTCGTTTTTCTTCTTACCACCATCACCTCTGTTGTTCTGGCCTTCCTTATCATCGCCGTCGTGGTCACCGGTTGCTGGTTAGGTTATCACCATTACACCATTTCAAACCAGTTAATTAGTAATTTTCATCGATTTCAATTTCTATTGGAGTTAAAACGAAGCTATTGAGTGAACCAATACATCCAGTTCCTGAATTGATTCATCGATTCAAATAAAGGGCATTGACGGGATAGGGCTATGGAGGGGGTTTCATTTGATAGAACACTGAGACAGAGCATGCAAAAATACACCACCGCCACCCCCGCCGTCATTCTTCTTCTCGCCACTCTCTTGCTTCTGCTCGTTGGGTTCTTCTCCTACTTCTCCTTTCCGCCGCCACAATTTTTCTCCTCGTGCTGCTGCTTCACCTCTCCTCCGCCGCCATTGTTCGGATTCGGCTACTGGTTATTGTTCCTGCCGCCACCACCATTGATGTTGTTCTTCTTCTTCTGCAGAGGAACTCAGGGAGTGAGAAGAAAGGAGAAGGAGAAGGCGCAGGTGAATGGGTATTAAAATACCCAAAGAGCGTGAATAAAGAAGAAGGCGAAAGTTGATTTTTTTTTATTTTTTTATTTTTTAAAAATTGACATGTCATTATGTTAACGGTCCAGTCAGCACTTTCGTTTGCCACATCATATATAACTGACGGAGTTAACTGAGTTTGACAGTCGGTGACTAACAGTGAAACAATTCGTAAAGTTACTGGAGAATAAAAACTAAAAGTGATTCGAGTGGTAAACGTAAATTATTTATATAATTTGAGTGACCAAACGTGTAATTTTGCCATCCTAATTTCTACTAAGATCTATGAATATATGAGCTGGGATAAACCAATTATATACCAAGTATAAACCGGTTTGACAACTTGCTAGGCCCGCTCTCCATTTTCTTAAAAATCTTCCGTATCCCGTATGCCATTTTTCTCCCTTTTCTGATTTTCCTCGAAAGTCACTTTCTCGTTAGCTTTCCTCTCCTTCCCTCGAGCCCCAATAACAAACGAACCCAACCCACCCAAGAGCGCCATGTCATGGTTGGCTCGCTCTCTCGCCGACTCCCTCCGTCTCGACGACGACAACACGGACGGCGACGGCGAGGACGAGGTTGACGTTCTAGGCTCGGAAAACGACGCTGCAGCCGACGCATCTAGCGATGGTTCACTTTCAAAGCGCAATGATGAAGGAGCCGAGAGATTGAAAGAGATCGGCGATGGGGAAAGAGGGGAAGGAGGAGGAGAAGAAGAAGAAGAAGAAGACGCGTTAGCTAGAGGGGTGAGAGAAGATCTCTCTGAATTAGGGCAAACTCTACAACGTCAATTGTGGGGCGTGGCTGCATTCCTTGCTCCCCCTCCCACAACGCAGGCCGCCGCCGAAGCGGCTTCGGAGGCGACAACATCGTGTGATCGATCGGCTTCGAATTTGAATGATTCCGATCCGTCCGATCGACCGGACGGCGCCACGACCGGAAATTCGGAGGAAACGTCGGGGATCAGGCAGGAATTTGCGGAGATCGGGGGTAGGTTTAGGAGCGGGGTCACGGAGATTTCTAAAATGATGGGGTCGGATTACTTTCACTTTGGATTGGAGGGCGATCGGCTGGAAACCCAGGTGGAAGAGGAAGAAGAAGAAGGAGGAGAAGAGTATTATTATGAGGAAGCGGACGGCGAGGATTTGGAAACGGAGGAATACGACGACGACTGGGCAGCTAAAGTTGTAGGGATCACCGACGAAGTGTTGGCATTTGCGAGGAATATCGCTATGCATCCCGAGACTTGGCTGGACTTTCCTCTCGACGAGGAGGAAGACCTAGATGGTGCGTCTTCTTCTATTTTTTATTGTGCATTGTCCAGGATACGAATTGAACTCCAAAATTCACTATCAAGTTTGTCTGTTAATGTTCTGGTGGTTTAGAATTCGCATGAATGGCGTATTACAGTCTATATCCCTGGATAATTGACTGGGATTGGGTACCTCAAGTTTGAGGTCATGCCCCTTATTGACCCTTTGAACTCTACTAAGAAAGCCAAGATCGATTAATTAGGGATTTGGGTTTTTGGTGGATTGTACTCGTGTTCATAGCCTCATAGGGATTAGTTTGAAGAACTGTTTGTAGATTGCTGCTCTTTTGGGCTTCAACTTGGAGTTTTTTGTTTGGAAACCTTTTGTAGACAGCAAAAATGTTTAATTGGAGTACTAGCTGCTGAGTGATGAGTTTCTTGTGATCTGCACCCGGCAAAGTGTAATTTGGGGTACATGTTTAGAAGGACTGTTTGCATTTTTGCTTTATCATGTGAATGGTAGTCTAGGAATGATGAGAATATGTTCATATGCATTAGTAATAATGCAGTTGCCTTGTTTTTTTATACCAATGCACTTGTCTAGTTATTCTGTTTGTGAATCTTGAGAAGCTGGAGGGAACTATGTCAAATGCACTAGGCTGAGAAATATGTGATGAGCGATACATGCTGATTGGCTGTTGTCCGTTATAGGCTCGAATCACCTCTTGTCTTCGTCTATACAATGTCACACAATAGTTATTGTCTCTAAATGGATTATCACTCTGTTGCCAATGATTTCTACTATTCTTTGTTCAATGCCCTCGTGTTTCTATTGTTATCAGAACAGAGGAACAGTCTTGTTTTCGTTTGATACTTCTGTGGTTAATAAACAGGAATGGTACTCTGAATCATGGTTTGTGGTTTCTAGGTGCAAGTTCTAGGTGCAAGTTTCGTTCATGTCATTTCTCGGCATGATAATGCAGTCCTTGGTTGTCTGATTATGGCATGCGGTTAAGCGTTTTTTTTTTTTTTTTAAATTTGCCCACCTTGTTTCAGATCTTCAGATGTCTGATGCACAACAACTACACACCTCAGTTATCGAACAACTTGCACCTAGGTTAGCTGCTCTTAGAATTGAACTTTGCCCTTGTCATATGACCGACAGTTACTTTTGGAAAGTCTATTTCGTTCTCCTGCATTCAAGACTCAACAAGCATGATGCAGAAGTTTTATCTACACGCCAGGTAACCTTGGTTTTGAGTATTTATCATGTCGTTATCTAGTTTATTTTCCAAAACATTCCTATTGTCTAGCTAAAGATTTTTAGGTTATGTTACTAGAATATTGAGCTCTCCCAAACAATGAGTGACTCTCATTTCATTGTATGCTTATAGATATGTCCTACTTCCTTACGTCAATATACTTTGCTAACAAGATGGTGGGTTATTGGCACACTAATCAGAGCACAACATGATTTATGCAGGTAATGGAAGCCAGGTCCTTGTGGATGCAGGAGCTACACAAGCAAACTAAACCAGAATGTGATGATTGGTTTGGAAAAAGTTCTTCGTACGTGAGACAGAGTTCTGATCTAACACAAGAAGCATTTTTCACTCCAAGGACATATGACGAGCATACATCCGGCATGTCAGCCGACTTCGAGACAGAGAAGCACCTCGTTTCAAGGAACGAATTGCCCTTCATTGATAAATCTGTTATTGCCGAGAAGCCGGTAGTGAAGAATGAGCACAAGGATATCGTGCTCCTAGGTTCATCATCTAAAGTACCAATGCCAATTTATGAGGAGGAGGAGGATGAGTGGCCAGACGCAGAGGATTCGGATTATGATGATTGCAAAACTCCCATTGTTCCAGGGGATGAAGAGGACATCTCTTTCAGTGATTTCGAAGATGACTGTATCGACTTGCCCCTCAAAGACCGAACAAAGAAGTAAGATAACAGCATCTTCATCACTCTGTGAAAACATACAATCGGTGGTTTCACTCAGCGCAAGCTGTTTTTTTTTTTATTCTGGACCACCTCCAAAGTCACCACACTGTAAGTACCATTTACGTAGTTGGAATTCTTTTGGCACTGTAATTGATGGGTTTGTTTGTTAAGCCAAACTCGTGATTGATTATGCAAAAGCCTTGTAAAGCAAACCGTGTAAATTATTTGTGGTGGAAACTTGTTGCCTTAGTGATGAGCAATTGTTTGATTTCCTTTTGTCCTATGTTCTAAGCAATGACAGATAGCATTTATTTTGGTCTCCCGCAAGGCTTTTCTTCTGGTTGTACTTCTACTATATCAGGTGTTTGCCATTCCATTCTTGCAGAGTTGTTCATATAGAAGCACATAATGCTTCTGCTGGGCTGGCCTTGTCAAAGCAGGATTCTCGGCAATGGTAAATCTCAAGGTACGAGGATAAGCAGCCACTTCTGGCGAGATGTAGTTTTCGCGTTAGAGAAATTGCAGATCATATCCTATGCTGCGATGATTGTTGGTTATTTCACATGTTCTCCATTTTCAAGGTTTGATAGGATGGTTTTGGAATCGCTTACATTCGGAAACAGACACCAGACCGTAGATAGAAGAAGTTTGTGAAAACCTCCGTCTCTTTATTTGATGATGTTCGTTGCAGCTGTGTCTGATGCTCTTCACAATCACTCCGGTCTCATTTCTGATGAAACCGGTGAGATGGTCTCTACTATCTTTCTCTGCTTAGAGCATGGTCCATGAAATCGTATCGTATCGGCGGTTCAACCACGAAATACCAGTATCGGAGGCTAAACCGGTAGGCGGTATTTAACGATACTAACGATTGAACTACGGTTAAACCACGGTTTTGTCATAAAATATCATACCGCTAACTTTTTCGATACGATCTTCGACACTGTTTCATGGACCATGGCTTAGAGACCATATTCCTGTTGTGTTTCTGGAACGAATGAAATAGGGAGCTCCATCATTCAGTACCACAGTTGCTTGTAAAGCATCGCCCATGTGTCGCACACCACCAATACATAGTCTTAATCCCTGATTAACTATGTTTGTCATTTTGGTCTACGCCACTGACCGTGAAAGTCAATGATACTAAAACCGTAACTTAATTGTAGAGGTCGTATGGAGAACACGATTCAGGGCGTGGATTTGTTGAATCCGTAAATTTTGTAGAAAGTCATGTTTTTTTGTTGTTTTTTGTAATGTGGATTTTAGCTTTAGGGATTTGAAATCTCTAAAATCTATGGATGTCAAATCTCTCATATTCAGAGAGATTCCATATCTTGATTAGTGATATTTTTTCTCCTACTTTTTATCTTTTTTTAATTTATTTATCACATTAAATATATTTATCAACAAAGTTTTTAATATTTCTCGAACCAATCTAATTTCTTATTAAGAATAAACATGTTATTTAATATAGAATTGAAATTTTATCTTCTTTGAATGTTAACAATCACAGTTACCAAACAATAAACATTTTAAAATCTATTTTCAACAATCCGAGGAGTCAGAATTTTTAGATTGTTGACAATCAATAGATTTAAACTCATATTCTCCAAACAACCTTGTAGTTCAATCGTTTCTTATCACTAAAACAAACTATCATTTTAAATTCGGTATCCGATATTTCCAATCCAACCAACCGGTACGATTACTTGACTTCTTTCTTGATTCTTTTTGAGACAAATCTTTATTTGCAATGTCCACCGGAACGTCATAAGGATGATGCTCGATGAGAGTATCGAGGAACGAGAAGTGAACGAATCTACACAATAAATAAAAGTCAAATGAGAAAACTTGAAGCCCCATTTCAAATTTCCTGCATCAAGAGTGAAAATAGGAAGGACATTTTGGTCTTCACAATTACTTTTTTTTATTCATTAAAAAGACACTTACTAGGATTCGAACCATGACCACTTTAAAGAAAAGCAAAGATCATAACCAATCACACTAAATACATTTGTTGTATCTTTTTAAACTAAAAACATATAATCGCAGAGAGGAAACAACCCTTCCCCCATTTCAAATTCTCTGCTCCAGGAGCGTTTGTAGGAAGGGTAGAATAGAGAGTGTCAATTTTTTTCTTTTTCCTTTGTGGAACGGGCCAACTTACCGTACACATGCAGATTTAAACGGGTCCAGGAGTGTCAATTTTTTTTCTTTAAGTCCTTTTATTTCTCCGTGGTGGTAAAATATATATGAAAATGCAAAACAATACTCCTTTTTATTGCTAAAAAGAAAAAAATTAACAATAAACTAATGCATGGATTCTAATGGGCTAACCGCTAATCATAAAATAAAAGAGTTGAATGGGCCTGACCTACACGGGATTTGCCCATCAAGTAAACCAAATGAACATCATGGGTTTGTCATTCTAAAACAAGCTATTTTCTCTAGCATAATATATATTATGCTATTATTTTATATCTTAGTGGCTAAAATATAATGTATTTTAAAGTTATTCAATGATTCAACCTCGACCAACCCAATTAGTCCAATTTTTATCATTTCAAATATATATTATGTAATTATTTGATATCATAATGATTAAATTATAGGGTATATTATAGGGAATCGTTTGGTATTTGTTAGTAAAAAACTAAACAGAAAGATCTATTTGGTTATTTTTAACATTAAAACGATCCTACACATTTTCAGTTTTCTTTCGAAATTCTATAGTTTTATTCCCCGAATCAGTGATGTGCAAATGGCGAATTGCAGTCATCTCTTTTCTTTCATTATTTTTTATTTTCAAATAGAAAGTTTAAAAGTAAAGAATACTTAGAGTTTGGCATGGGTGGGTCAAACAGGCTGAATTTCAAGTTTTGGCCCGTTATGAAGCAAATTAATCGGCCAACGGGACGAGTAAAAGCTAGCAACGATTGTGAGATGCTCATTTCCCGAAAATCGGCGGGATAGGTGACTTTTTATTCGATTTTCTGGTTCATAAGGCTAATTTTTGATTCGTTACATAATTCATGTCGCTTTCCTACTAAAATTCACTATTTTATCACGTATTTCCCAAAAAAAAATATACAACAATAAATTATACACATCATTACATTATCAAATTTCATACCTTACCTTCCTCCGGCCAAATGGCCCGGGCCCACGCTAGTTTATTGAAAAAACAAAACAAGAAAAAAATAGCATGGATAAAGTTTAAAGCGTGGACGGAAGATGGTTTCAACGCTAACTTCCATTTTAACAACCTACACTCATTTTAGTTTTCATCACCCGTCCCGTCATCACGAGGCCGAACCCGACCCGTAAAAAAAAAAGATGTTTTTTCGTATCATATCGCCCGCCCCGCGTTTTCCGAAAAGTTGCGTCCTCGAAAAATACGAGGCCCAGGCTTCTCGCCCAATTATAACCTTCCTTCCCTCCCTCCCTCCATCTCTTCCTTCCCATTCCCGTCGCCGCCGCCCGTCGCCACCGCAGGAAGGAAGGTTCAGCTCCTTTTCCTTTCACTTTCCATCTCCTCCAATGTTTCGAGAAAATCTCCAGGAAAATCCTTAGCAGCCCCAATAAATTCTGGTTTCCTTGTTCGTACGAATTGTCAGTTTCTGTTCCTTAAAAGCTCCTCCAACGACCGCCATTAATTCTGTTTCCTACTCGCTCGCTCGCTCACTTCCCCTCGCGCGGGTTTAATTGACGGCAGAAACGGAACCCTAGGGGGGGAGGAGGAATTGGATTCTGATTCTCCTCCTCGATTCTCTAAATCTTGCCGCGCTCTCATAAATTTGCCTCCTTCCTCTTCTCTCTTTTTGTTTACCCGGCGGAGCTCCAGCGTTGCGAAGGGGAGGGTCATGGATCTCGTGTTGGTGAGGGAGAAAGGGTTGGGATTGTACCGGCGGAGGAAGAAATTGCTGATTTTGCTCGGGGTGATTGGGGTGTCCGGTTACGGCGCGTACAAGGTCTACAACTTGCCTTCCGTCGCGAGGAGGCGACGGAAGCTGGTGAAGCTCGCCGGAGCGCTGATCTCCGTTGCTGAGTTGGTGTCCGATTCCGCCGATACGGTGGGGGTCGTGTCTAGGGATTTGAAGGAGTTTCTGCTGTCCGATTCGGATGAAATCCCCAATAGCTTGAGGCAAATCTCCAAGCTCGCGAAATCGGACGAGTTCTCCGAGTCGTTGACTCGGGTTTCTAAGGCATTAACGGTGGGGATTCTGCGTGGGTATGATTCCATATCGAGTAAGGAGAATCGATCTGCCGTGGATTCCAATTTCAGCCACAAGCTGACTGAGAAGCTTTTCTCTGAAGCCGGGACTGGCTTCGTCTCTGTTGTGGTCGGAAGCTTTGCCAGAAATCTGGTTCTGGGGTTCTATGCAGCTGGTAGAGATGGCCAAGGGAGTGAAAAGACGTCTTCTTCAGCTGAAGTCCCCGGGTGGGTTAGTGTGGTTTGTAATGAGCAGAGTAAGGAGCTTATAGCTGATTGTGTACAGAAGTTTGTGAGCACTGCAGTCACTATTTTTCTCGACAAGACGATCCACATCAACAGCTATGATCAGTTCTTTGCCGGCCTTACCAACCCGAATCATCGAACCGATGTCAGAGACATGCTGGTTGATGTCTGCAACGGGTCCCTGGAAACCCTTGTGAAAACTTCTCATCGTGTCTTGACAACAACAGGCTCAAGCACCGATCCAGGGGAATCTGCTTGTTGTTCCATTGTTGAAAGAGAAGGTGGAAAGAATGGAGACCTGAAAGCGGAAGAGGATTCGTTTGAGAGCAGCGGATGGATGAAGCAGGTTTCGTCGACATTGGCAGTGCCAAGTAACAGGAAGTTTGTGCTGGATGTTACTGGAAGGGTGACATTTGAGACGGTGAGATCGATTGTGGAGGTTTTGTTGTGGAAGTTGTGGGATGGTTTGAAGAGAGGTGCTGATGTGGTTCATGATGGGGCAGTGGAAAGAGGGCTTCAGGTTGTTCGATATGTTGGTGCTAAGTCTTCTGTTATTGTTACCATTTGCCTGGCATTGTATTTACATGTTGTGGGCGGCGCCAGGGTGATGTTGCCTGCTTGAAAATGTTGTGATTGGGAAGTCATCTATTGATATAAAACCACGTTATTGGTAATGAAGATAAAACCAAGTAGCAGTTGTATGTACCTCTCTCTCTCGTCTACATTCCTTGATTTTTAGTACATGATCCAAGCTCAGGCTTTCATTTCTATGCCATTTCATTTTTATGGTTCGAACATGTGAATGCTGCATTCCCCGTTTCTTCATCTAGACGTCTGGTGTGGCATGTAGGATTGTGTATCATATCGCAGTTTGCGGAGATTGCTTTGCTTGGATCAGAATAGAAAGATCAGGATGACACAGCTGCCGTTAGCTAGCTAGCTAGCTACGAGCTAGTTTGTTAGGAGACTAGGCGTGCAGTTGTAAAATTGATGGAAGCCACACAAAGTTAGCAGAGGATTTGTGTAAGAAGAATTTTGCTTTGCAGCTTATTCCCCCTACTCTGTGGGAATTCATCATTAGCAGAGGCACTTTTGTTGCAGACCTCGAGCTAATCATGAACATCCATGTCTTGCCATGTGCTAATTGAAAATACTTTCTCCTCTTATTGCTAACTATATAACTTGGGTGCAATCAATCATGCTCTTCCTTTTGCTTGAAAGGGGAGAAAGAAAGAAAGAAAAGCACAGATAATTGGGACATCGGGGCTGGCTAGGGGAAGGGGAGGTGGGGTGGATGAGGTTGTGTGTAGATGTAATCAAGATGGGCTTGGAGGGTTCTTCTGGTCAAGCACTCTTCACCTTCTTCTCCAACGCCCTCTTCACATCTCTCTCCCAAGCTCTCGTCACCATCTCCCTGCAGTCAGAATTGAATTAATACAGAGCCATAGCAGAAGACGTTTCTGTTAGCAAGGTACCAACCAGAGTGGTGGTGTGGAGATCAGCGCCATGAGCAAGCATGAAGGTCAGAAGAAGTGCGATTATGATGATGCTGATAAGGGTAAGGAGGTATGGCTTATTGGAGGAAGACACTGGTTTCATTTTCAGCTTTGATTTTGTTTGTTGTTGTTGAATGGTTTATTGGATTGAAGGGTGGGGATGGTTGATGGGGTTTTATAGCCTTACCTTTGAGGGTCAACTTTCTATTGATTGTGTTAGATATCAGTTGCCATTTATTGTATATAGGTAGACAGATGTTACTTTGGATGGTAATGAGTGATGGCAATAGTAAAAATGATTTCTAAAACCCAAATTTAATATTTTTCCTTTCCGAAATCTCTTTTTTTTTTTTTTTTTTTTTCTGGTTATTATTGTAAGTGTGAAGCGCTGCGTTCATCCCCAAGGCCCAAGTAACCGGACTGTAGGTTAAGCAATTCTGACGATTAACCGCTTCAGTAGCTAGAACCAACCGGCTCAAAGGTAAGGAATGAGATTAGGGATAATAATGGGCGGGTTTGGGGCAGAATTCGCTAAACGAACCTCATCCCATTTTTAAGTAATCAAACTCGTATTCACCCCATACATGAGCAAGGAAGAATTTGTAACCCCATCATCATATTTGTGGTTTTCGGGTACCCATGCGTAATACTCGATTCGTATATCCAATATTATTATATTTCGAAGTCAACATGCAGACCTTTAGTTATAATACTAAACAAACCTAATTAGTCATGAAAACAACAAACCTACAACCATTCTACGACTATCCTCTATATATAAGATCCATTGAACCACAATAACAACCATCAAGTATTCCGATTGCCAGGCGATTCCGCTCTAGTGCTATTCCATCTCCCCCCGGTAGTAAAAGATATGTGGAGTATCGAGTTCGTCACGGTCGAGATTCGAGTACGTCGCGTGATTCCCTCCAGGCGACCGGTGCATCGAAGAGTCATCATCGCTGGTCGATATGAAACTCGAAATCAACGTTGAAGCATTGTTGACCAACGGGATGTGTGTGGCATCTCCTGATTCGACATTCGAAACTTTGGAGACGTTGTAGACAGGACCGACGAATGCGGTGGTGGAATCCTCCACAGGTTACCAAAAGTATCAGGAGTTTATGTGGGACTGGATATGTTGAGATTGCAGAAAAATTATGAGGGATTGGGTTTGCGGGTATCCCGCATACCCGCCCGTGAACCATCCACTACATGTGGGTTAGTGTTGAGCCCATTTGTGACCCACCCACTGCCCACCACACGTATCATAGTTTCCATCAATTTACGGGTGGGTAGGGTTAAATCCACGAGTGATCCGTCCGCATGGATGTGTTATGTATATAACATATACAAACTTATGTTAAATAACCTATTGATGAAATGTAAAAATTAATATTTTTATACTTATATTTATGACATGCTTTGCATAGTTTTCATATCTATAGTGCCATAATAGGTTGAAATTGTTTGGTAATCATTCAAAGATGTGTTTAATAGCTCCTACGATTATTTTTATTATTTTGATGCAAGTTTATTATGTTTCATGTGTTTTTAGGCTAACGTATCTTAGTGGGACCGGACCACCTTGTACGAATGAAAGAAATCAAAATTTCGCTGTTGGAAGTCAGTAAGGGAGATTATCGTGAAACTCAAAATTTGGTGTTAAATTTAGTCGGCCTGAGCCCAAATTGACGGCCTTGGCGCCAATTTTGGAGAGTTCCATATCAGTCTAGATTCGAGAGAATATGCCATACTCAGAGGCTAGGCTGGAAAAACCTAAAGGATTCGGCTGAAGAGTTTCTACCATACTTTTTTCTTCAAGAAAACCCGATAGAAGAGCCTATAAACAGAAACCTTTGAGTAGGAACCAAAAATCAAGTCTTACAGGGAGCTTCCTTTACCTACACTCCCACAGAGCAAATCTCCAATCCAAAAATAAGCCAAAACCTCAAGTTCATATGGGTGTGGTAGAATTGATGCCCTAGGCACCAATCTTCCTTCTGGCCGCCGATTTTTTTAGGGAGATTTGGAAATCTCATATTGGCTTCATGTTCTCCCAAAATCTCTCGACTAGTTCGTTAGTTGTGTAGCTTTCTAAACCCTAAACTATAGAAAGAGTCCTAAAAAACACCATAAATAAGGACCACAAAGCTACGGTTCTTGTTCAATAGCTGATAAGACCGCTTATAATTATGTCCCATTTACACACTCCTCTTCTCCAAATCCCCTCACAACTTCCCGATTCTCCCTTCATAACCTTCAATATTCACAATATGAAAACAACTTTAACCTTTTTACAAAACCTATGCTATTAAGACACTAATCAGCAACATTTTTTTTCCAGATATGAAGCGGCAGTACCATTCAGTTATAAACTCAAACATTGCACAGCATACCTGCAGAGTGGTGGGATCAGGGCGAGCTCCATGAGCAAGAAAGAAGAAGAAGCTTAGAATTACGGCGATGGTGAAAAGGGTAACTAGCTTCATATGATCCTTCGACATTTTTCTGCTTTGATTTGAAAGCAATACTGAGGATTGAGAATAATACTGAAGTAAATGGAGGAGGGTTTGCACACTGTTAGGTGACTGACTTGTGAGGCGGTGACGAGATTAATGGGGAAAACGAATATTATTATTATTATTATTAAGTCAAAGATTAAAATAACGCCTATGTGGATTGTTAGATCATCCATATTAATATTGCCTTTTCAATGGTAAGATGATATGATAAGATTTTTTCTAAATTTAATTGCATAAATAATTGCATATTTGTAATATTATGATTAATTGCATATGAAACCAAAATGATATAGCCTATATTTGGCTCGGCTTTTAGAAGTGCTTTTCAACGTCAAAAGCTGAAGCAGAGGCAAACACCTCTAAAAGCTCGGATTTGAAAAGCCGAAAAGTGTTTTTGTATAACATAAAAGCAGAAGCTCCGATTTGGAGTTTCTGCACAATGCTGTTTTGAAAATACAAGATTATCCTTACCATATTTTAATTTTATTTAATAAAATATATTTTTATTTCATTCATATTATTTTAAAAATAAAATAAATTATAAAATCATATTATTTAGTAGAAAAAAATCTAACAAGATCCATATTCACTACTTTTTATTGTTTATGATTGGTATTCATATTTTATAATATAAATATTTTATAGTCATTTTACATAACTTCTTATATTAATAAGTACTTTTTATAGTTTTTCGGCCAAACATTTAACTGATGTTTTTAAAAAGTATTTCTCTAAAAGCTCCAGCCAGAAGCTAGTTCATCTGCATATGTTGTCTGTCTTAATTTCATTTTATCTACATCAATGTAATTGCAATGGCAGGTTAAAGTGATTTTATAATAAACAAATTATTGTTTTCATTTTCTTATGTGGTTTGCATCTTAAATTTCATCAAATGCAAGCTTGCATCTTTGCAAATGTCCTCTACATTGGTTCAATTCCCTTTGCAATTGCATATTGAGTGTTATGAAGGATTTGCAATTGATCAAATATCATTGAAATGGACGCTCTTACTCTGTTTTTTCAATGATTAGTTTTTTATGGTATCAAAAATTGTAATGAAGCCCAGGGTGTTGCAACTCGCAAACTCCCTCTCAAAATTTCAACTAATATTTACAATGCATCATCAATGTCCTGTAATCAAATCAACTATAAGTCTAAGTAACTATAGAGCTAACACTGTATACTCTCGACTCAAAAGGGGTAACTTCTAGCAAAAATGGATGGTTCCTTCAAGATCTTGAGTGATATTTGGTTATGGAAGCAATATTTACAGCTCCATATATATAACCTAGCATACCTTTCACGCCAAACAAAACTTATAGCCATAAGCCACAGTAATCGTCCACCGGTAGCTTAATCACCCTGATTTGCCCAATGTTGCTCAGTGATAACTCCGCATTTATACATATTTTTCTCGACATTCATGATTGATCGTATGGCTTGGCATTTGATCGATTCTTGACTTATTTTACGCTAGATTGTGCTTGTTTTGTTATATTTCAGGTCCTAAAACGTGAATGAAGATTGGGGAACGAGTTTGGAGACGATTGGACGAAATTGGAGCATTCGACGAGGAGCAGAGGAGATTTACACGGGCTGGAATCCACTTCGCACAGCTGTGCGAGGTGAGGGTTCGACGAGAGGCATGTACAGAAGGACCGCAGGAGCTACGCACGGGCCCCATCCAAACCCCATTGCTCCTTCCTAAGCTGGCCCTTCAAACCAAGCCTTCTCCCCCTCCAATTCACCCCACAAGAATCAATCTTATAGTGGAAGCAGTCGCTGCAACTAGGGAATTGATCAACGGAGACCGCCTTCATTTTCACAGGGAAAGGATCGACGGAGATTGCCAAGGGAGAGAGAGAACTTACAATGACGAATTTGCGGTGGAAGGAGGATAAGTCTCTGGGGCTTGCTATTTGCCGCCAAACAAATTGCTATTTGCCGCCAACTAAAAAAAAAAAAAAAAAAAAAGAAGAAGAAAGTATATATGTACATCTTTGGTTAAGTTTTTTCACAACCTACAACATTTTCAAGTTTCAGAAAACGTATTGAATCAGAAAAAATCGACGCTCGCCGGAAAAGTCGCCGGAAAACCATCGGGAAAGCCCATCCTCGACGTAAACTGCGGTCACGCATCCATGAATCATCACTAAGCAGGTGCGTCAACTTTTTTTTAGTTTCGAACAATTTTTCCGACGATTTTTAACGAACAGAGGGTGGGCCGAAATTTTCCGGCGGCCGGAACTTGGCCGGGCCGAAAATTTTCGGCGGCCGGAACCTGGCCGGGCCGAAGGAAAAAGGTGGCCGGAGCCTGGCCGGGCCGAAAATATTTTTCGGCCCGGCCAGGCTCCGGCCACCTTTTTCCGTCGGCCCGGCCAGGTTCCGGCCGCCGAAAATTTTCGGCCCGGCCAGGTTCCGGCCGCCGGAAGTTTTCGGCCCGGCCAGGTTCCGGCCGCCGGAAAATTTCGGCCCACCCTGTTCGTTGCAAATCGTCGGAAAATTTCGATTTTAGGAGTTGAATTTAGATTTTAGGAGTTGAATTTAGAGTTTAGGAGTTGAATTTAGCGTTTAGGAGTTGAATTTAGCGGTTAAGAGTTGAAATTAGCGTTTAGGTTCACAAGAATATTGATGTGTTATATTGTAATTGTAGGAAAAATGTCAGAGTGGTTACCGGCCGATCATGATTACACAGCAGAATTTGAGAATGGGATCCATTATGCAAGTGTGGAGTTAGCTGAGTTAGCTGCAATAGCAATCGCTCAGGAGAACGGGTTCTTTATTGTTAGAGGAGCATGGAAACCGAATACTTCTGGACTTACTGCCCTCTGTATGTATTGCGACAGAAGCAGTAGGATCGTTAAATCTTATAAACCAGACCCTACGAAGGAGACGCGTGGGAATACTAGTTCGAAGGGTACTGGTTGCCAGTTTCAGATATGTATTAAGGAAGTATGGCAAAAGGATCGTCCAAACACATGGGTCCTAGTGGGAGTGACAAGTCGTGCAACCGGAGCTAATAGAGGGTTTCACAACCATGAAAAGGTGTTGTATCCAGAACATCACCGACACAACAAACAGTTTAGTGAGGCTGAAAAAGAGAGGTTAAGATTAATGAGGAAGGCGGGGGTGAGACCAAATCAGCAGAAGACGACACTCAATACTGAAGGGGGTGTGAGTCATGATATCAAACAGATGTACAACAGAAATTACAAGAACAGATTGGATGAGATGGGTGAAATGGATGCGATACAGTTTGCGCTTCATGGAGCTGAACAACGTGGGTACCATATCTGTTTGCAAAAGGACTCTAATAATGTGCTCACTAATCTGTTTTTTGCGCACCCGACGTCCATTCAGATGTTGCATGCATGGCCGTACGTCATCATCATTGACTCGACCTACAAGACGAATAGGTATGGCTGGCCATGGGTTGAGATTATTGGGGTTACTCCAGTCAAGAAGAATTTCAACATTGCATGTGCACTTATTAAGCAGGAAACAAAGGAAACATATGAGTGGGTGCTGCGATGTATTAAAGGGTTGCTCGGTGATACGGTTCCGAATGTCATTGTGACAGACAAAGAAGGTGGTCTGCTTGCTTCTATGCCCCTGGTCTTCCCTCTCCCACATACTGTCCACCTACTATGTTTATGGCACGTCAACAACTGTGTGAAGCAAAAGTTTGAGCAATTACTGGGTGGAATTTCAAGAAGAGAGGTAGCAGAAGCGGTATGGAAGAAATATTTCGACAAAGCTGCATGGAGTTGGACTCAGGAGGGTTTTCTTCAAAAGATTAATCAGTTTGAGAGGGTCTGGACACAGAAGAACATAAAAATGGTTGACTACGTGCGAGGTGAGTGGTTGCCTTGTCAGACAATGTGGGCAAAGTGCTACACGAACCATGTGTTTCATCTTGGTAACACGAGCTCGAATAGAGTTGAGTCATCTCACTCTTCATTCAAGAGTTTCCTTGTGTCTGGTAGAGGAGCGATTGACACTTGTTTTGCGAAGAACCACAACTACATGGAACATCAGTTTCTAGAAGTGGTGAATGAGCTGCACAAGTCACTTAACCGCAATCTGAGTAGGGCAATTGAGCCTCCGTGCACGTTTTTGAGGAGGGTCGTTAGTTGTGAGGCGATCAAACTGATGTTAGATGGGGCGGCGGAGTTGAAGGACCGTTGTGCGTGTCATTTTCAGATGACACATGGGCTCAAGTGTGCTTGCCAGGTTGTTCAAGCTAAGGAAGAAGGACGTCAATTCTATGCTCAAGAGTTGCATGTATTTTGGCGGACTTTGGATTATAAAAACCCCCCACGTCAACAACAAGTCAATGATGAAATTGAGCTTCAACGAGAACACTTTAGGCGTCTTACTGTTGAGGTGGAAGAAAGAGGTCCTGAAGCAGTGAGACAAGCAAGAGATGCCCTATTCTATGGGCTTCACCCAGCAGAGGACAATGTGAGGGAACCGGAAGTGAATGAGAATCCGAGAGGACGGCCTCGAACAAGCACCAGTCGCATTCGTTCATATTATGAGCGGTCTCGTTCGAGGAGTACTGGGCCTGGTTCGAGTGGAGGCAGGGGGCGATCGAGTGGAGGTAGATCCCGATCGAGTGGAGGTAGATCCCGATCGAGTGGAGGTGAATCCGACGAGCATGATACAGGTGAGTAATTGGTTAAATATTGTAGTCCATCTAGTAGTAATTGGTTTATGTTTGTAAATTTTGTCCAAGTAATTTTGACTGTTTGGTATATTTTTTGTAGATTACTCATCACAGAGCCCCCCAGGGCAATATTCTTACCCTTACATCGATGAGCTTTTTCCAGAGTTTGTTCGACCTTTGCTGGTAGGCGATTTCAACCCTAGTCCAGACGGCCATTGTGGTTTTAGGGCACTTTCTCATTGTATTTATGGGGATGATAGTCACTATCTGCTCATGAGATCGGCGATTGTCCATGAAATCCAACAACATTTCTGGAAGTACGAGAACTTGTATAATGGTGGTCCACTAGCTCACATTGACCGCATCAATTGGCTCGAGGCGGGTTCCGCACCAATGGGGCGATGGATGGATTCTGAGGACTTGTTCGTGTTTGCCACCATCTACAACATCGCAGTCATGGTCTTCACATACCAGATGTTTGATGTCAATAATGGAAACCGTCCACTACCCAACCGCTACGATGATGCCTATGTGGTATTGCCTATTGATGCGGACCAAGGTACTTTGCCACCAACCATGTTCTTATCACTGCACTATGTGAACAACCACTACATTCGATTGTACTTCAACCAGGATCAGTTTCCCATACCCCCTCTGCATCCACTTTGGCATGGGATAGCAAGTCCTAACGTGGCGGGATGGGAAGCTATTCTCGAGGGTGGACAAAATTTGTATGCGAGTCTTGGTGGTCGGCAGCGAGCCAGGCAGAGAGACCCCCGAAGAGCTAGGGGAAGGGGTAGGGGTAGGAGCAATGCATAGTGTTGCGATGCTCTATTTATATGTTGTTGTTTTTCTAGTTGTATTTTAAATGGCTCTAGTGTCATCATGAACTTATGGATTTCATTATGGATTTCATTATCATCATGAACTTATGGATATCATTATGGATTTCATTATCTACCCTCGATGTTTTAATCATGAGTGTGCAAACATCCGATCCAAACATAAGTAGTCAAACATAAGTAGTCAAACATCCGATCCAAACATAAGTAGTCAAACATAAACATCTGATCCAAACATAAGTAGTCAAACATAAGTAGTCAAACATCCGATCCAAACATAAGTAGTCAAACATAAACATCTGATCCAAACATAAGTAGTCAAACATAAGTAGTCAAACATCCGATCCAAACATAAGTAGTCAAACATAAACATCTGATCCAAACATAAGTAGTCAAACATAAGTAGTCAAACATCCGATCCAAACATAAGTAGTCAAACATAAGTAGTCAAACATCCGATCCAAACATAAGTAGTCAAACATAAACATCTGATCCATGTGGGATAGCAGAGCATCCCATGCAGCATCAAAACTCTCAGGAATCCGAATGACATATCCACCAGGTGCCTCTGGTCGGTCTGCTCGCTGAGGACGCGAAGGGGGAGGCGGTATCATCTGTCGGTATCCAAACTGTCGGAGGCAACGGGCTGGATCATAGAACTCGCCTATATCAGCGAACCGAATCACTCCAGTGTACAAAGAGCGACGCACCTCAAGATGAGGCCTCTGATGGAAAGGTGTCCAAAACACATCAGCAGGGGTCAAGCTGTCAAGAGCTCGACGGTAGAACGCCAACCTCACACTGGGATCAGCCACAGAACCAGTTGCCGGCTGCCCAATCCATCGTGAAGCCCAAGCCTCATCAGGTCCAACGACAGGTGGCTCAAAGTGAGATGGCCTGAAACCCGGAAAGTACTCGTAGATCCAACACTGCAGAAGTGTGAGACAACCAGCCACCCCCCTAGCACCAGCACGAGACGCCTGACCAAGGCATCTGTACAACCAAGCAAGTGTACCGGACGCCCAACTGTACTGATCTATCTCCTCCAACTCGTCCAAAAATAGGTTCACCACCGGCCGAACCCTGTCTCTACTCTTGTCCACAAACAAAGTGGACCCCAACATCAACAACAAGTACGACTGCGCCTCTGTCACATGTGTCCCGTTCACCTGCAAGTACCTGGACGCCATGTCCGCAAGAAAACCACCCTTGTCGTACCACTTACCCTTACTACCAAATCCAGGGACCTCCGAACGACCACTCAACTGCTCCGAGTTCATCCCAAGAAGCGCACACAAACCCACCTCCGGATGGTCAAGCTGCTCAGAAGTCCTACTCATCAGTCGTCCCTCAACAGGAATCTGCAGTAAGTACTGAACATCGTGGAGGAGGATCGTCATCTCTCCAAAAGGCAAGTGGAAAGTGTTCGTGTCTGGCTGCCACCTCTCCACAAAAGCTGAGATCAAAGCCTCGTCAATCGCTATCCTGCGGAACATAGAGTAGATCAGGTGCTGGAGACCTGACTGCTGAACCAGATCCTCCGCCTCAACATGACTAAACACGTAGTTCCCAAGATAGTCAACCGCCCCTGTACGGGTGTAGCAACTGATGACCCCTCGATCTCCAAGCCCCGTCCAAAGTGCGTAGGAAGCGTGGCCACGGAAGCTCCTAATGAGGCTAGGATCCGTAGGTCCACCAGGACACTCACCAACAAGCTCCCACGGTGGAGGACCACTCGAACGTCCTCCCCTACTCCGTCCAGTCCCCGAGCTCTCTGTCTCCTGACGAGCAGGTGGTACGAATCGCCCAGCTCGGTCCCTATACATAGCAGGACGTGATGTTGCCGTACGATCCTGCACTCGTCCATGTCCATGCGTAGGTGGAGGGACATCGATATCCTCATCATTATCGTCCTCATCTCTATCGTCCTCATCAAACTCAGCAGAGACCACTCTCGATGCAGCACCCTGGTTCCCCCCATGGGAACCAGACGCCCGTGATGACGAACGAGCAACTAAAGTAGGAGCCTCTGACTGATGTCCAATATCTCGAGAGCGCTTCTTCTCCTTATTCTTCTGAGGCACCTTCCTTCGTGTTGATGCATCAACAACCCTACCATTGAATCTACCCAACTCACTCCCACCCGCATCATCCATATCTAATTATCTACAAATTTACACAATATCATACTTAGATGCGCACTAATTAATTAAATTTCGATTAACTAATTAATTGTTAATTAATCACTAATTAATCAATATCATACATAGATGCGCACTAATTAATTAAATTTCTATTAACTAATGTACTATTAACATTAATTGTTAATTAATCACTAATTAACTGCAAGTCTATTAACTAATGTACTATTAACATTAATTGTTAAACCAATTCTTAATTATTTAATTTTCTATTAACTAATCTAAGTAATTAAAAAAACATTTAATTAAGTAGTTAATCGAAATTAACTAATTAAGTAACTTTTATTGACTAATTAATTAACATATTAAATTAAATTAAATTAAAAAAACACGCCGGGCCGAAAAAAAATAGAGGTCGGCGCGCCGCCGGGCCGAAAAAAAATTGCGGCCGGGACGTGGCCGGGCCGAAAAGATTCTGCGGCCGGAACGTCGCCGGGCCGAAAAGATTCTGCGGCCGGGGCGTGGCCGGGCCGAAATATTTTTTCGGCCCGGCCACGTCCCGGCCGCAGAATCTTTTCGGCCCGGCGACGTTCCGGCCGCAAATTTTTTTCGGCCGGTCGCCGAACGCGCCGCCGGAAAACTTTTCGGCGGCGCTTTCGGCGACAGGCCGAAAAAAATTTGCGGCCGGAACGTCGCCGGGCCGAAAGAATTTTTCGGCTGGGCGCCGCGCCGGCCGAAATTTTTTTTCGGCCCGGCCACGTTCCGGCCGCCAAATTCTTTCGGCCCGCCGTGTTTTTCGCCGGAAAACTGGAAAAATCGCCGGAAAAACAGAAAAAATTGCCGGAAAAAATAAACTTACTTGTTTCCGACGATTGAGGACGACGGGAAGTTGGCCGGCGACGGAGGAACTGTGCCGGCGACGGAGGCACTGGGCTCGTCGACAAAAGTGTTTTGTTGGAATGAGATAATGTTATGGTATTCAAATTTATAGGAAGGGAAGGAAGGGGAGAATTCAAAATTTGAATTCAAAATTTGATTTTTTTTTTTTTTTTTTTGTTGGCGGCAAATAGCAATTTGGTTGGCGGCAAATAGCCGTTCACTAAGTCTCTAGGGGTGGGTGTTCTTGGGTTGGAATGCAACAAATGAAAATGAAGGGGGCTGAGATGGGAAGGGAAAGAAAGGAATTAAACAAAACTAATGCTAGGTGCAGCGGCGGAGGGTTGACGCCGGGGAAGAGAAAGATAAAGGAAGAAGATGGGCCTAGTCCTTCGCCTTTTTAATCAACAGTATAATTTATAGCTGAAAAGTAAAACTGCAACCCCATTCAAATTTTTCTGCGCATAGAGTGATTTTAGGAGTCTGACGTGGCAGGGTGGTTACGCGGGATTAAATTAAAAATCCCCGCCTGACAGGAGAGATAAGAAACCGTCGGTTCCCACTACTTTTTTTGCGGCTGAAATCATCTTCCATTTTCTCCGGTGTCATCTACGTTTTGCTTTCTCCTTCCCGCAGCACGGCAGGATATCCATTTATCAGCGGACAATTTTGGGAACAGGGACTGACGCTTGCTGCTCAGCGGAGGAAGGCATTGACGGCCCGCTGATGTGGAGTTTACCATGCCGAGATTCTGCAGTTTGGAACGAGCGGCGAACACCTGATTGAGCGAGGAAGACCTGCGGCTAATTGATGGTGAATTCCCCAGCCAACCGGCGAATCGAAGGTGAGTCATGATTTGTGGTATTTGTTTACCCCCGCTGATTCGAACAATCGGATTTGGTAGTTATGCGGTGAATGATTCTCCAGCCAACCGCCGATTTGAAGGGGAGGCGAGATTGTTTCGGTTAGTTTGCTCCTGCTGCTTCTCTCAATCCGGATTAGGTAGTTCTGCGTTGAACCCTTGCCAGCCAACCGACGATTTGAAGGGGAGTCAGTAATTTTTTCTGTTTGTTTTGCCCGGTTGCTTCGCGCTGTCAGATTTGTTAGTCTGCTATATATGCGTTTTGGGGAAGCCCGCAATTCCTCTATTCGCAATTGGATTTGGTAGTCTGATCTGCATATTATCTATTACTGTTTCCATCATTTACTTCGCTTATCTTTAGTTTTATCTGATTGAGTTTCCATGTGTACCCAGCTAAATTGATAGGCCAACCCTTCTTGTACCTCCTGTGTCCGTATCGCAGCTTAGAAGGAGACCACGTCTTCGGCGAATTCGGCGACTACAAGCCCCTCGAAGCTAAGGAAAACAGGGGAAACCAGGGGAGCCGAGTTCCAAAGAAGGCATAAATAATTGAGCTCTGGTTTA